AAGATTCTCTAACATCTACCATAAACTTAGGATAAAGTTTTATATTTAGTAAATGCTAATTCTGAAACTTCGCTGTTCGCTCGTTTTGAGATTCCCTTGTTCCTGCAAATTTTCTTCTATTTTCTCTCATTTTCCTGGGAAACCTACATCTCTGGAGATCTTCCCAACCTAATTTTCCGTGCCTTAAAATCAACTCCGATATTCTCTTTCTTCGAAGTTCAAACTTGTCACTTTTTTTTTTTTTTTTTTTAAAGTTGAAACACAGGGATTAATGAGATGGAAAAGGCTCACTAATCCAATAAACTAAACAGGACTTTGTGATTCCCAGTAGACAGCCTGCCCTAGAAAATCATTAATAAAATAGAAAGCAAGGAATCCTAGCAGCCTTTATGTCCCAATCAACAAAATTGTTTTCATTGCAATTCAGTCCTCCTTGTTAATATTTTGGGTGTTATTTCCCTATTTCAGCCTCTTCTTCCTGGAAAACCTCCGGCCATGGCAGATTGGTCTCACCTTCCGCAAGAGCTTCTCCACCAAATCGCCCAAGCCCTCGAAACCCACTTCGACATACTCCATTTTCGAGCTGTCTGTTCCTCCTGGAGAGCCTCTGTTCCCTACAACCTTCTCCCTCCACCTTCCTATTCCCGTCTCTTAAAGTTGATCCTGGAGGACGAGGATGGGGAAAAATCTTCAACTTTTGTTTTACAGCGCCCCATTTCCATCTTCAAATTCCATGGGCTTCATAACCAAAGAATCCCACATTTCTGGCTGGTCAAGCTTGAAGAAGATGACGAATCCGGGCAAATTCACATCCTCAACCCACTTTCAAGTTCTAAAATGAAGCCCCAGTATCCGAAAGTACTGGACATTTCCACGCTCGAGGTCCAAGAACTGGCTCTTGAATATATTATTCAGGGCACAGATTATGCAGGCACAACCACAGCTAAAGCAGCTTATTGGTTTCCCAATCCTAAAGATGATTGTCAACGTTATGTGGTATTTATAGAAGCTGGAGATCTATATCTGTTTAAGTTCGGGGATGAGGAAGCAACTAAAATTGAAGAGGAAGGCAGCTGGAGTCCATTCTATGATGATTTCATTCAATTCAAGGGCAAGTTCTATGCTGTGGACAATATGGGAACAACAATTGCCGTTGAGCCTTGTTCCAGAACTGCAACCCCGGTGACAGGAAAGCTGACATTTAGTGGGGAGAAAAAGTTCTTAGTTCAATCATTTGGGAAACTGTTGCTGGTTGACATATTCCGTGCTTCAAAGAGTATATATGGTGATCCCTACGGGAAAACCCTTTGGTTTCAGGTGTTTCAGCTGGATGAAGAAAGGAAGAGATGGGATCTAGTGAAAAGCCTGGGTGACAGGATTCTGTTCCTGGGAAAATATTGCAATTTTTCTGCATCTAGAATTCCTGGGGTCCAAGGAAACTGCATTGTTTTTTCTAATGAAGCAGTTGATGAATATGGAGAGTTGAAAGGGGATGCAGTTTATGTCTTCCAGATGAGAAATCAAAGGGTTATACCTTTGCAGGATTTCGATGGTTATCTCTACTTGTTTCGGCCACCTCTTCTTTGATAGGTTGTCTGAGAATTCTGAGAATCCAATATTAAGGTTGCTGAGTTTGAGACCGTGGGGCATGTTTTTGTTATTTCCTCATTCTCAGCATGTTTTTTCTGGATCATGAATGTAATTTCCCTGGATACTATCTTTACTTCCCCTAGACGGTGTTGTTCTGTTAACCTTTTGTTCTGTAAACTGAGAATATTTGCTTCCATCAATCCAGTTGAAAGTTGAAAACTTGAAACCCCCTAGAACTTTTCTTGTGCCCTACTCTAGTGTTTGTCGGTGACAACAACCGACACATTTTAGACATGTTAAAGAACATATAGACAGGAAATCTAGCTATCAAATCATTGCTGCAATGCAAAGTAATTCAGTTAAAAGTATTATCATCTTCCTTCTTCCTAACACATGACTAGAAAACTAAGACCAAAACTTTTAAAAGTGATTCCTACTACTAATAAATATGCACAGGATTAGATTACCGAACTCCCTCAGCCTGTCAGCTACCTGAAGCAGCTATGTACCTTGCAGTAAATACAACATAGTATACTCCAATTTATTCTTGCTCGGATGATGAATCACTAAGTCAGTCTCTCTCAGGAGCATCCCTTGAAGTCCTTGCACTGACATTCCCAGACCAGACCCTCTCAGAGTCAGCTGGACATGGCTTTTCAAACTTCCACTCTGGTTCCTCTTTAGGGTTGTGTCTCTTCAGAGAGGAAGGTGCCCTTCTTGGGCTTCCTGTTAGAGGAGTTGACGAACAGAAGGTTGGCGTGCCAAATGGAGAAGCATAAGGAGTGTGCTGAATTGAGAAGGGACTAGGGGAGATTCGCTTCTGGATTGGAAGACCACTTAAGCCTCCCCGGCTGAAGAGGGAGATTGATTCTGCTGCAGCACATCGTTTTATGGCATCATCAACGTAGAGGACGTCATCTATCCTTGCCATAATGTTGAAGGCCAAGCTCTCCATCACCCTTGAGTAGCTTTCTAGAATGGACTGGCCAACATCCTATGAGAGAAAGTCTGTGTTACTTCCCAAAATAAATTTTTAAAACTCAACAATGGAATTTAGAAGGGAATACCAACATACAAAAGCACCATGTCATGTGGGAAATATCTAGGACATTTTAACACATCCTCTGAGAACATGGATTGAACATTCTAGGTTTAGTTGCTATTTGTAAAAGGATTAGAGCAAAATACCCTGTTGTATTGAATCTTGTTCATATCCAATGAAGTCTGTGGAAGACCAGGAAAGCGAAGCCTAAGGCTTTGCAGAAGAGTCTCAGCTCGTTGAGCGAGAAAATGATTCTTTTTACTGTCAGCAGCAAGGCCCTTAACCTTACCACTCCATGGTGAGCGCCTGACTTTCGTGTGATTCATATGCTTTTTCTGATTTTTCTGCTTCCATACATGCACTGCTGCCTCTATCCTATTAGCTATTTCCAGAGTATGATGCTCTGATGACAGGTCAAGGCAATCAAGGAGACATTCTGATGAGAACTTGTCAGCAGTGATGTAGCGATAAATGATATCTCCCAGGCAAGCTTTTCCACTCTGGAAGTTGGACATCAAGTAGCACGAGAAAACATAAGAAATAAATTGATATTGTGTAAGTAGTTATACAGTCGCAAATTAAGACTTAATTTACAGGAAATCATTAGAGATGTTATGACAATAGTATTTAATTTCAACATGCAGGGAGCCATGTAGATGTCAAATTCTTTGACCATATGTGTCATTAACAAATCAAAATGGAAACAATTATAGAAAACCACCACATGCCTTCTCAAAACTGTTTATGAGAATAGCCATATATGGTTAACTGATCAAGGTAATCACTCCCCCAGTTTAGACGTTATCATGGATCAACAAGACACAGAATTCTTGCCAGGAAATTATACAGTGCAACATTGACAGATCAATATACAAACTCTCTCTAGATCACCACTAACATGGCAAAATATTGACACGTACCTTGGGCAAGGTCTCCAAGTACGGTGAAGGTATCTCCATCTCAGCCAGCACACTGCTATTGATTGCCATGGCTGCCTTCAAGATTTGGTTTGTGCAGTCCCTACATTGCTGTAACTTCTTGCTTGCATCCTCAGATAACCCATTTGGAGGTACTTTAGGACACGGCAACCACCATTTTTCCTCCTGCCTAATCGAAGGCCTCCCACCAGAAATTGATGAGGGATATGCATCACAATCACCATCATCACCCATGATTATACCCCGATCAACATACCAAAATTCCGTATCACAAAACCCGTCAAGCATACCAATCAACATTGCATCAAGCTTCTTTAGTGCAGGAAGATTCACATATAAATCTGATCGTGGCCGTGTTGCCATTACTTCGTAAGTACCCCCTCCAGGGAATTGTTGTATTGAAGGTACAAGCTCCACAATCGAATCACTCACACATAAAAGCCACTCCATCTCTCTCACCCACATTGCCTTCTTCTGTGATGCTAATGGCTCTAACCTCCACAGCTCACCAAATACAGTTGCTGCAATTACAAACAACAACAGCATTTTATCCTAGAACAAGAATGCACACAAAAACCCAACTAACTTTGAACAAAACCTGACTAACCAGAGAGATTTGTGATTGCATTTGAAATAGCAAGTGCAGTACACACTCCTTTACCACCTCCAGACATGTCTTCTCCAAGAAGAAGCTTAGCAAATCTCTCCTTCATCATGTCAACCTCTACAAGACAAAGCAATTATAAACATGAACCAAGGAAAGGAATGTAATTAAGGCTTAATTGATCCATATATTTTCTTATTTTTTTTAGGCTAACAAATTTTTTCTACTTAAAGCAAAAAAAAAAAAAAAAAAAAAGAAAAAAACAGCATTTTACTAAAGCTAGAGGCAGCACTACAATGGCAGGAATCTATCTCCCTCATTTTCCATAATTAACCCAAAAAATGGGAAAAAAGAAAAAAAAATCCAGGCTAAAGTAAAAGAAAGTACTAAAATTAGTAGATAAAAAATGAAACTAAAATTACCGGACAAATCAATGTCCCGTTTCTCAGGCTTTTCGTCACCCCAAACTGCCACATCCTTCCCTCCGATCACCGGAAGCATCACAGGGATCTGGAAACCGAAACTCCCAGGAAGATGCAGCCGTGGAGATGACGTCATCGAACTAGAACAACCAGCCTCTCCATCAAACCGCCGACAGGAGAAGCTACTACAACTCTCCGACTCACTGACATCAGCACTCAAACTGTAGCTCCCGCACCGCTCACTCTGCTCGTCAGAAGAGATACTCCCCATCACTTCGAGATCCAACAGTTTAACAAACGCCACAGATGCACATTCGCTTCAATGATGAAAATAATGTACCGGATCAGATTAAGAAATCGCCTCGCGTGGTGGTGGTGGTGATGGCGGTGGACCACTGGACCGGCGGTGGTGGTGGAGCAATGAGGGAATGATTGGTAAAGGAAACAGCAAAGGAAAGAGAGGAGAAGAGAGGGACGTTCACATTTTTTTTTCTCTAGCCTCCTGTATAAGTAATGATTCCTTTGGCTTTCTATTCTAACTATCTCTAAAAAGTAGTGGAGTACTACTGACTCTGCATTTCTCTCTCTAAAGCGCAATGTGGGACTCTGCTGAGGCTGGCTGCACTGATGGTTGTTTGGCTTGGCGCAAAAGCAAAAAAGAGCCGGCGTTTGCAGTGGTTGTCTTTATTTACCACCCGACACGGGCCTTTACTATCGGCCCCACCATGTTCTGTTTTTTTTTACATTTATTTTGTTTTTGATTATTTTTTTT